TTTCTATGTTCGATTACTTTGACTACAGTTGTAAATAAAATCAGGTTCTGCACCTATTTTCCATCATTCATAAAACTCTAGACGTCGATCAAAATCGTCTTCATTTAGCTCTTGCACTAGATGAATTTTATATGGACGAAATTTATTCTGTTTTAATATTTTACACACCGACTTCTGATCTATTTGATGTTCTTGAGCTGTTCTGCGAGTGGAAATATGTGAATTCTCCACAAAAGATTGCAAAACATCCAATGACTTTTCGGGATTTGTTGCTGTTGCTAGTCTCCCTGTTTTTGAATTTTTAACATCACCAATTTTTTCGAAACGTCTGATAGTTTTGTGAATCGTAGATTTTGGGATACTTGTATTTTCATTCCGAAATGTTGCATTGAAGAGCTGCTTAACATCATTGAGCTTTGTCTGTCTCCCCATCCTTTCATCATTAAAAGAGATATTCGTTCACGTTCAGTAAGGTGCAGTATTTTAAAAGCAACTAATAATGAGTAGCCGTGAAAACAACTAAGAGTGAGTAGCCGTAAAAACAGCTGAGGGTGAATAGCCGTGAAAACAACTGAGAGTGAATATGATGCGGTTAACTAAGGAAAGATCGAAGGATGATCTAAGAACTTAGATCGTCCTCCGATCTTGCCTTAGTTGGCTAGATCATATTCCGACCTTGTTTTCGAGTGTCTATTACTTTTTACTGTAAAATTCTCAATAACTTTGAAACGGCTGACACAAAATGAATAAAATTATAGTGCTTTGAAAAGGTATTGAGAAGGACTATAAGAATATGTAATAAAAAATAGGGTATTTTATTTAAAAAATTCAAGGTGACTTTGACTAGACCTTAACGATGCCAGCCAGGGTCATACTAAAATTGAATAGATCTTTTTAAATCCTACAACTTTTATTTGAAACATTTTTCTATAAAACTTATATTTTTTTAGATTTTTCAGGGTTTCCATACTTTTTCCTCACCCTGTATATGTGCAGGGTGTCCCATTTTAATAGATCACCTCAAATATCTTTTGAACAGTGCATTTTAGGAAAATGTTTTAGACAAAAGTTTTGGGACTTCGAGGAGGACATAAGATGATAACATTGGTTTGACCCTGAGTGGTGTCGTCAAGATCAGGACAAAGTAACTTTGAATTTTTCAAATGGAACTCCCTATTTTTCATTGCATATTCTTGTAGCTTATTTCGAAAGCATTCCAAAACACATAGATAAAATGTTTTTTGGTTAAATAAATCTCGAGTCATAAAGCTTGAAAGTTACAGTACCATCGGCATTAGCATTATCCAAAGTGTCCGGACAATGGCTGAAATCTTTTGAATGTTGTTCAGGATTATGAGCTTGACATGTGTCAAAGTTATGATTATTGGAGAATGTTTCTCTTTTTTCAAAAAATAAAAATAATTTTCAAAAATAAAAATAAGAGAAACAATCTCCAATGATCATGGCCTTGACATATGTTGTCAAGCTCATGATCCTGAACAACATTCAAAAGGTTTCAGCCATTGTTCGGACACCTTAGATAATGCTAACGTCGGTGGTACTGTAACTTTCAAGCTTTATAACTCGAGATTTACTTAACCAAAAATCATTTTATCTATGTGTTTTGGAAATAAACTACAAGAATGTGCAATAAAAAATGGGGGGTTTCATTGAAAAAATTCAAAATGAACTTGTCCTGATCTTGACGACGCCACTCAGGATCAAACCAATGTTATTATCTTATGTCCCCCTCGAAGTCCCAAAACTTTTGTCTGAAACATTTTTCTCTAAATTGCACTGTTCAAGAGATATTTGAGGTGATCGATTCAAATGGGACATTGTTGAAAATGGGACCTGTATATATATATATATATATAATAATCAATTATTGTTTTTGTAAAATGCATGCTTTATATGCTTTAAAAAATAACAATTTTTTTATTTAAATCAATTTTTTAATCTTTCTAGAAACATAAAGTATTAAGCTAAGATTAAGATAAATAATTTTATGATTACTTATATTATGTACATGTACCTGAATGTATTAGCTGATAAAATTGGACATTGCGTCAAGTATGGTACACCATCATAATATTGATATCCATTTTGAAAGATACCGTGCCAATGTATACTCGCTTCAAGACCTTCGGCTTCATTTTTTAAATCAATGATAAGGTAGTCGTTTTTGCAAACCTTAAAAATAATTGATAACGTTAATCAAATCATTGATATCAGGAGATACGGTAGTGGCTTGGTGTCAAGTGTTTAAACTAATATAAATAAAATATAAATTAAATAAAATGTGTATATGTCTCAAGCTATGCCGGGTCTCTTAACGCGAGCCGTCGCGTTGCGAGCATCTGAGATTACGAGATCTCAATAACGGTCGAACTGATTAAGTTCCAAGTAGGCTTAATCGACAGCTTGGGTTTGGTTTGTGTAATGAAAGTGTTTATATTTTTTTTCTACGTGCCCTACGAGCGGAGATATTGCAATTGCAAAAGTCCGAAATGTGAGAATTTAAGATTAAGAAACGTCCTCATCA